ATATATTTCATACGTAATTCTAATACATAACTTCAATAAGACCCGGGATGGGCTCCCTGTGGTTGTGATAATGAATTAAGTGACGAAGACTGAGGTTTTTAGTTTACGTTGTATGTTGATTTTTTTATATTAAAAGAGTTAGTGTTACAATAAAACAAATTTTAATTAATGATAACTGAAATTCGCAATCAAATTAATTGATGATAATTCTTAATATTCGCATTAATATAGTGCATCGTCAATTTAGTTGTTGTAAATTCCTGTTGAAAAGTTAATATTAAAGTTCATATTAATTAACTGCAGTTATTACTATAACATGACAATAGAAAAAAGTAATATAGAAATTCAACCATATTACATAATATATACCATAAATTGTTGTTGATTAATCAATGTCACTTAGCATAAATTATTTTCCTGTCTTTTTAAGCAGATCTATGATTCAAAAACTAGGTGTTGTAATTCAGTAAATGTTCAAACAAATTTAGGCATTCCTTCCAATTTCTTGGTTTTGCCAGCTGTTGAAGGTCAACAACATAATTAAAGTAACTTTGGTAATCATTATCAACAATAGGCTCTTCACAATGAGAAGCTACCACTTCCAGTTGTGCATCGGTAACTGGTTGCATTTGGTCTTCACCTCCAAAGGTTTCAGGCAAGAAAAAAAGTTCGTCAGGTTTCCCTGCGATTGTATCGTGTCTTGATTGACGAATGTAATGAGTGTTCCAATGAACCCTGAAAAAATCTAAGTCCTGTTGTAGAATTTCATTGAAACAAAACCAAAGACATTCATTATGATAAATGTTACCACTTATGTACACCCCTCTTTCAGATAAATCCTTAAAAAAGTTTATCCACCATGATGTACGACTTCGTCTCAAACTGGACCACCAGCACTCAATTCGCTGATTTGCTGTTGATGCAACATAACGATGCGCCTTTTCACCGGCAAAGTCATCTGTACCATCACCTCTCAGATAACACTGCAAGGTTGCTATTTCAACATTTTCAGTGCCAGGGTCTGTTGATAAAATTCTTGGGCAACCACCTAACTCCTCGATGCAGTCGTGATAATATTTAGCAATTACAGCTGGGTTACTATTAGTTCTTGTAACCTTCAACCATAGCATGCGACGGCTATAACCATCTATGGCGCCATGTAGTGGAAATCCAAATGGCTTCAGTTTGTCGTAGCCGTCAACATGCCAGCACTGGTTTGGTCCAGGGGATTTGTATTCTCTTCTTTTCAGCCTATGACGCTTCCGTTGCTCTGTTCCAACAGGATCTATCTCCTTCAGTAATGCTTGCACACGGAGGGTTTAAACTGCAGGTTGCAGGTGTGCAGGTGCAGGTGCAGGTTGCAGGTGTGCAGGTGCAGGTTGCAGGTGTGCAGGTTGCAGGTGTGATATTCTAGTACAAGATCAAAACTTAACATTCATCAACAAGTGTGAAGTTTGAATTCTCTTTTATAATTGATTTTGTCACTCTTTGCGAGAAATGTCCGCCATATTTAATTCTTAGCTCAAAAACACCCGATATCCCATACTATCAATGGTTTTCCCCATACCGCCAAAAACATGTGATCATAGCATGTGATGGCACAACTTAGTACGAATTAAAGTCGGCTTTAAATATGGATCTGATTAATAGGTATGTACATCTATTTAATATGTGATACTTGATTGATTTTGGTATATTAAGTGGACACATGTTCGTATATTCAAATTACTATACGCTTGAACGCTTCGCTTTGTTAGACTTGTTAGATATATACGAGAATTTACTCAATTTAGGTCACTTCAGTTGGCCACCCAGTTGAGACTTCGAAATTACAGATTTACTTGTAATATTTTTGTTGTGCTTTAGATATGAAAGTGACTCAGACGAGGTGGAAGTAGAAGGTAGACAATTGTGTATTTACATATTTGAAGGGTATAAAAAGTGGATTATATATTTAAACTAGAAATACATGTCCCTGGACCCCTGGTTTCTTAACATACGAACTATATATTGCACTGACGTCACAAATCCTTAGAGTGTCCTCCAGATGCTTCCTATAAACAATATCTGTTCTGATACAACCACCACCACATACAGCGCAAAAATTAACCATTTTAATACAAAATTATTATAATTTTTTACAAATTTGCTTTGTTTACAAAAGTTTTATTATGCATATATTATTATGACTATTATAGATTGCTAATTTGCCCTCCAAATGCATTGTCACCGGCGCTGTGACGTCATGTGCATGCAATGGGTATATAGAGTGCATGTTCACAAAATCTATGTAATTACATACGTTGCTAAATATAATATGTTGTAAGAGATTGATTGTTTATTATGTCTCAGGAGGGGGGCGGTGGTATTTCTTTAAAAGATATCAAAATATGCACCCCCTATAATTTTTAGAACTAAAAATGACTCCTTTGTTTAACTATACAGATTAAAGATATACCCCCTCCATCCGAAAAAAAAATGGAATGGGCATCTCTAGGCATAAAACATTCCAATTGTGAGGCCTGGTGACAAGGAAGTGCCAATAGAAAAATTGGGCACTAGTTTACCACCGTTAGACAATTTCTCCATGGATCTCGTTCATAGCCATATTTAAAAAATTACCCCCCCCCAAAAAAAAAGAAAACCACCGCCCTGAGACGTAATAAACGATCGGTCCCTACATATAATAAACTAGCTCGAAGTTAACCCTGTTGTACTACGTTGACAGTGCAAATACATTCTGATCAGCCTAGTCCCAGTCGTTATGAAGCAAGCGCAAAAAAAAACGTGAATGTAGTACGAGACTGGGACCTAGGCGGACCTCACAGCTAAAGGTGCTTCAGAACTCCTAGTAGATTTCAGTATTTTTGATATGGCGGAAAATTTGTATATAATATACAAATAACCTTGTAAATACGACAATGTTTGTTGATCATGTTCGATGTTTACATAACCAAATTGAAACTGTATTAAAAATGTACTCAATCAAAAAAATGATATACAAATTTACGATACTGAGTCTGAGCAATGGTAAAATGTTCAAAACAGTTTTGTCATATAATCGTTGATGTTATTTATATACTCGCAAGTTGCGATCAACACTAGACAATACTGGTATACGCAACTACGCTTTCTACTTGACAGGTTTAAGTAGCTAAGGAGATTGGAAATATTTGCCTGACATGACTGTGTTGTCAAAACATTTTTAGTCGAAAACTCGGCATAATTTTCAAGCTTCTAGATAGCATTTAATGGCTTTATATTTTAGTAAACACGAGTCATATTTAGCCCGTTATTCCATTCTGACCGCATGGTAGCGAAACGTAGCCTATTTCATTGTTCCGAGAGCATTAGAGCGAAACTAATGACTTAATTATAAACGCAAAGGAAATTTCCACAACTTTTTCTATTTACAAATGTGGTATGCTTGGTAACCAAGCCAGGGACCACTTTTTTGAAATCAGGGATCATTTTACCGAAATCTGCTAACCCAGGCATAAAACTTTTAGGACTTATTAAAATATATCAAAGCAGCGTACAGAGAAAGAGGCTGGGACTAGGCTGCATCCTGATATCTTTACCAAATTTTGTTTGTGTCATCCAACCTCGTACCCAGTACTGTAAAAGTGGGGAGGGGGGGGGGGTCGCTTGTGGGCGGAGCCCCCCTTATTCAAACTCTGGGGGGCTGAGCCCCCGTTTTACTTTAGAAAATCGAAAATTTATTATGTCACAGAGGAGCTTCAGTCATCTGGCGATACTAAATACCGAATGTACTCATGTCCCAGAACGACAAGAGAAAACGTCATTTTGGTTCATTTACGGAGCAGAATCTCTGATACAATCTCAACAAAAATATTTAGTTTTGGTTTTAAAAAACTCCAGCAGAATTAGTCAGACTTTTGAATTATATTTAGTTTCGACTATCACAGACTTTTTAAAATACGTTAGTTATTCCTTGCACATAATTATGTAGATTAGTTCAGTCTTCATTAGTACGCTGGAGAGGTGTTTATTTTCATTTATTATTTTCTTGTCATGTATTAGTGGGCTTGCACTTTCCAGAAAAAAACATTTCTAAGAAAGAAAAGGACGATAAGTATGGAAAATGCAATTTAAATTACGCTTTAATAAAGTATTAAATTTCGAAGAAAAAATCTATTCAAGGAAAATGTACTAAGCGAATAAATTTTACCCATATATAATGGCTTGCTTAAGACTCGTTCAAGAAATTTTTAAGAGAAACTAGCAGGTTTTATTGCATTTCCGGGGCTCTGAGAAGTCTCAGATTTTAAAATTTCCCGGACCTCCCAGTCCCAGAAGGCTCACGCCTTCGGCGTTCGCTAGCCCCCCCCCCTCCCCATAAAAAATGCCGCCCGGTAAGGGCTATAGGTTTACCCCTGGTCACCCCTCGTCATCATATGGCTCACCCCTGGTTGTCATATGACGTCACGTTTTTTTACGATTTCACGGCTTCACGCTCCTCAAGAGAGCCCCCCCCCCCTCTGGTAAATTTAGTTCTACAGCACTGCTCGTACCCAGACTCTTTCCACTACGTTCCATCAAGTACTAAAGTCTAGCATTTGTTCCAGGTCTAGCTTGTGCGATATTCAGTATTTTTGGAAAAATTTGAATACTTTTCTTGGTGTTTATAGGCAAATTAAAACCATTTGCATATTTTCTAGCAAATTAAAACCTCGCGTAAATGTCAAAAACATAATACCTTATTACCCTAACCAAATTGATTAAGAAAAATAGAAGAAAAATATATTAAAAAGCGGAAAAATTTTGCCATGTCAGTTTGGTAGATGGAAACAAGTGAAAACCAAAATAAACATTCCAGTCACGCACATGCGCATAACGTACAGGCCTGTTAGAACAATAGAAATATTTATAGTCAGAATGACTTTTCACTTTGCTGGTGTTCCCATTCCTGGGTGTTGTACCCAATATTAGTAATTCTCGCAGGCTCGGGAATATATTTTACATTTTTATTTTTTTAGAACTTAACAGTACTAATGTCAGAAATGAAAATGCTGTTTCAGTCATTAGGTTTGCTCTATTTAATATTGCAATTTATATTTTGATCATTCCAAGTCTGCCCATCCAATGACCAATATTATATGGTGAAATGTTGCTTCTTCTCAGGGTAGGGCACGCCATATCAATGTAGGGATTTTGTTAAATTATTCTGACCTCAATATCAGGTGTGATTTATTGGATAATCGAAAATTACACAGAAATGCAAACAGAAGTAATGTTTATTTTAATTTTAATTTTTAGTGACAATGAAAATTATGATACTTTTGGTAAGTAAAACTTTTTTCAGTCACTCTGTAGACCACGTTCTGACATCTGTATACATTATAACTGAACAGTAACAAGATAAAACAAGGTGGCAAAAACAGTCAGTAGATTCATGCAGTTGGTTTTTTATATAGTGACGAATTTCTTTGCTTTGCAACAACCATGCATCTTTTCAGTAATAGATAACGGCTATTAGCCAATAGAAATGCGTAAAGTAGTTTAATAATGATTAAATAATTATTATTAACCAATGATATAATTATTTTGAATAAGTTTTCAGTATTAATTCAAATATGATATCACACAAGTTTCACAATTCTACATCTTTATATCTAGAAGAATTCTCAGATGAAAGTATCGCTATTGTTAGCGATTCTGAAGAGGAACTGAGGTAGAATTTATTTACGATTATTCAGTTACGTATATGGCAGATTAGAATAATCCAGCGTTCATGTTAATAACGCATTTAAATTTTATGATTTTGGATCAGAAGAGTTGCCAAATCATTGCGTGCTTTTAAATGTTTGTTTCTTTTTCCATTTAGACCATTGGAATATTACAATGACAACCCAAATATTCCGTACTATTCGAAGGGGAAAAAAGACTTCAAAATGTCGGAAGTTCTTCATGCCATCCAACTTAGCGTTGATGCTGACAGAATATGCGTCGAACGTCTGTTAGGTGTAACAGAAGACGCGTCCTTTGTGATTGATACGAGTAAGCTTGAAGCACGAAAAGATTATCTTGAGGACAATACTGGCAATTTTCGGAATTTGGGACACTGTGGTACAGTATTTACCGTAAAGAATGACAAGATTGTTAGTATGTCCGCTATGGAACGCTCATTAAAAGATCGACCGCCACTCAAACATGGTGAATTTTTGGTGAAAGTTGTCTACTGGGGACATAAAAAGCACAAAGACTTCAAGAAACGTACTTACGAAGTTTCCAGTTTCCGAGGAGAAGGCGTGTTTGTCCTCGTACGTTATTTGTTTGAAGATGAAGCTCATGAAGTAAGTCCGTGTAAGAAGATGCGAACTAGCGAGGGAGCAAAACAAAAAATACGTGATCGTATCAAATCTCATAAAACACCAAGCGCCATTTTCGATGATTTGTTTGAGGAAGCAGGAGGTATGGAATTTGCAGGAGGTATGGAATTTGCCTGTACCGCTGACCTACCTCGGAGCATTGGCCAAATAAAATATGAGCGTCATAAGCAGCGCAAGAAATCTGATATCGACGAAATGGCTACCTTGCTGCAACTGTCAAAACAAAACTCGTATATTCGTAATCTTCAGTGGACTCCTCATCCGCGAATGGTCGTTTTAACTGAGAACGTTGTGCAAGATGTTGTTGACTTTTGCACGAATCCTGAATCGTTTTCACCATTTACTATCGACACAACCTTTAATGTCGGTCCATTTTACGTTACTACAACAACGTACAAGCATTTGAAGTTGGTGGATGAACGTTCCAAGAAAAGTCCGTCGCTTCCTGGTCCAGCATTGTTTCACGCAAAACAAGATACTGGGCAGTTTCTCTACTTTGCCCAAACGTTGCAAGAGGTAAACCAGGACATTGGTGATATCCTAGCAATTGGCTCTGATCGGTTTAAAGGATTTGCAAATGGATTTGCAAAAGTATGCCCTGTCGCTCAGGTGATTGTGTGTAAGAAGCATGCGGAAGATGATGTCACCAGGAAATTAACATCATTGGGTATCACAGGAGAGGCACGCAATAAGTTCATGAAGGATATCTTTGGCAGTGAAACCACAAAGGAAAAGGGATTGATTGATTGCCTGTCCGCCGCAGAATTCGACGCTAAAGTTCTTCACCTGAAACCGGAATGGAAAATGCGTGAAATGGAGGCACGAAATACATCTGAACCGCAGTTCTCGCACTACTTTGATATTTACCTGTCTCATGAAATGAAAGAGAGGATGATTCTTCCGGTTAGACGAAGAGTAGGTCTTGGTGACGACTTCTTTTATGACAATGCAACAGAGAGCATTAACCATCGTTTCAAGGTAGCAATACGAAATGAAAAAGCAACCTGTAACCCAACTGGCGCGAGGGATCTTGATTGTACAATGGCTGAAGCGGGGGAAATCTACTACAACATGCTCCAGCAGACTCGCCGAAATATTCACCGAGCTATTATTGGCTTAGGGCCATATCGCCTGAGCGATCAATATGCGTTATGTTACACCGCTGCACCCATTTGGAACACCTTGAGTGATAACGAGAAGACCTCCAGAATCAGGATGGTGGATACCAAGTACAAACCGGCCACAAAAATTGCAACTGTTGAAGCAGAGACTGTTTCAAGTGCTGTGGGCAAATCTATTCCTGATATCATTATTGAAGACGACCAGTCAAGTGAGAAATCTGAGGGCAAATCTGTTCTTGATATCACCATTGAAGACGACCAATCAAGTGAGAATGAAGTTGTTTTATTAGATGAGCAAATCAACTATCGCTCGGAAGCTTCTCAAGTCACCAGACCGACAACATCTGGATGCGACACGATTACATCCGACAAAAGAAAAACTTTAGCTGAAGGAGGGAAATTGTCTTTGGGTGACTTTGAGAAGACAAATCTGCCCATCATATTCAGAGGATCGTGAAGCAATGCTGAAAAGATTGTAAATAAGCAGGGTGTTGGAAAAGCACCTGGTATGAAGAATGCCAGAGTTGTCATATCAACAAGTACTTCCGATTTCCACCGTATGACAGTAACTAACAAAAACTGTCCTGTCAAGTGCGATTGTAAACGTTTCTCAGATCTCGGCCTGTGTGCTCACATCATAGCAGTGGCGTACGATGAAGGAAAATTGAATGAAGTTGTCAGAAATTACAAGCCCAATATATCTGCAATAGTACAGCCTTCTGGAAAAGCTGGAAAAAACCCAAATCAGTCGGTCAGAAAGCGCAAGTCGTCAACAACTAAAGGAAAGCGAAGTGTTGCAGAATTTAATGATCCACTCGCTCATACTGACCTCATTAACTTTCCGGACCCAGATAACTGGACAGTAGTTTTTGTGAAAAATACGAAGATGCGGAAATGCTATGGATGTGGGGGAAGCGTCAGGCAAGACGTCAGCGTTGTACCTCCTTCTCCCTGGAATATTGTCCTTGCAAGACGCGAGTACCGAGCGTATACTCCACGCGGCAAACGTTCAATCCAGATTTCGGCAAAGAAGGAGATGGTTTATTATCACCCAAGGATGAAATGCCTCCGTGAAAAGAACACAGATGTTACTGGAAACCGCGTACAAGTACCCAGTGATATTGCCCTAGACCTGGACGATTTACAACGAGCCCAGTTGAGAAAAGAGTTTGGAATTGACTTGTAGAGTTGTCAACTGTGGAAACTATACTATTAGTACAGTAGCTAACGGTGCGTTTATATTTCATTGTTCTTTGTTAAAATTGTTGACATTGATCTGTGTTGAAGATGTTGAACTATAATAGAACATCGTCGGAAATATTTTGAAGTTCTTTCTCGCAGCAGTTGTATTGTACTGTAATAATAAGTTTACGCAATACATGTATTCAATAAAATTTGCCTTCCAGTACACAGGTAAAATTATACCAAAGTTGTCAAAGATCAAATGTATTGCATTTTTAATTAATTTAATAATTTTGAGCGATTTTTCAACAATACAATCTCTTCCGACGGCCATAAATCGCTAAAATACTGTTGTTTAGTGGTACATTCGGCATGCCTAAGTACAATTTCTTGCACTGAATCGAACGGTGATATATTTTTTTATTGGGCGCATAAAATCAGAAAAAAGGCGCAGCAAAAAGTCAATCGTGAGAGTCCGAGATTAATTGGAAAGAAAACTTTCCTCGAAAAAAGGAATTCAGAAAACATGAAAGGATTATTTTCAATCTTTCAAAAGCCATGAATCGCTGGAAAAAAAAATCAATTTTGAAACCAATTTTCCATCCATAAATACAACCCTTTACGCTGATTCGAACAGTGGTATTTTTGCCCTTGTTTGACGCATAAAACCCGAGACAAAGCCAAGCAAACAGTCGGTCCTGAGAGTCCAAGATTAATTAATTTTCCCAAAAAATGAATAAATTCAGAGCACGTGCAAGGAATGTTTACTAGGATATTAAGGAAACGTATTGATCCGAACAAACAAACTAACTAACAAACTCACAGGCAGAATATAATGCGGTGCCACCAAACTTGGGCACCGCAATATAGTTATGTTTTTGGCGGTATGGGGAAAACCATTGATAGTATGGGATATCAGGTGTTTTTGTACTAAAATTAAATATGGCGGACATTTCTCGCAAAGAGTGACAAAATCAATTATAAAAGAGAATTCAAACTTCACACTTGTTCATGAATGTTAAGTTTTGATCTTGTACTAGAATATCACACCTGCAACCTGCAACCTGCAACCTGCACACCTGCAACCTGCACACCTGCAACCTGCAGTTTAAACCCTCCAGATTTAGCATCCTTAATATATGTTTCAAAATTGTAATTTGAAGTATCAATTTTGCTGGTCAAATCTGGGCCAATATTTGAAAAATGGTTATTAAAGCCCAATGCTTCAGGACTTGTTAAATTATCTTCATTTACATTCAGCTCACTACAGTTTGTTTGTTTTGTCTGCCTAATAAGTTGTTTATACTTTTCCAAGCCTTTTTAGGATTGAATCTTTGACCAGCTATTTTCGAGGAATAGTAATCTTTTTTGGCATTCCATTTACTTTATTTCTAGCTGTTTTAAAATTTAACCAATCATTTTCTAAGTTTGTTAAAATGGCTTTTCGTTTTAATTTGTCCCTTGCTTTTTTATCTCACTTGTAATCCAAGGGACTTTCTTCGATCTGATTTTTTTGTATTGAAGTATGTGGTGCTTGCTTGTCTAAAACTTCCGAAAATAATTTTTTCCAAATTTCCCACATAGCATTTGTGTCTCCTGCCAAAAAATACACATATTCCCAGTGCTGTTTCAACAGTTCCGCAATAAACTTTTCCTCATCAAAATTTTTCATATTTCTCGTCTGAACGATATTTTCTTGTTTTTTTTATACCAATAACAGACATTTTTCTGATGGCAAATACTAAGCTATGATCACTTATACCTGTATGAATAACACCAGAATCAGAAATTTTCTCTGGTGTATTAGTAGCAACATGATCAATTAGGCTGGTGGTTTTCATAGTTACTTGAGTAGCATCATCTATCAGTTGCGATAACTGATATAATTCGTAGAATGACTTAATTTTTTTTGTAGGAATGTTAGATTCATTATCTGGTTTTAGCAAATCACAGTTTAGATCACCCAGAATATACATTTCTTTATTTTCATTATCAATAGTTTTTATCAATTTTTCAAAGTGATCAAAGAATTCAGTTAATGCACTTGGTGGTCTATAAACTGTACTACCAAGAAAGGGTTTGCTATGAGGCTTAATAATTTCAATACAAACAGCCTCTAGTTCAGATGGAACTAGATCATTTCTTATTTTGTAATTGATGTTGCTACGCAAGTATGTACAAACTCCACCACCATTTCTTGATCTATCTTTTCTGATAATATCATAATCAGTAAGGTGTACAATATCAGTTATATTGGAATCAAGTCGTGTCTCATTGAAAGCAATAGGATCAATATACTTTTTTGACATTGAATATATCTTATTTCATCAATTTTCTAAGGCAGACTAACAATGTTTAGAAAAGCCATTTTAAAACCTTTTTCATTAAGAATGGAGTTAAGGCTAGTGAAAAAATCGCTGCTCACACTGTTTGAGAAGTTACTATTATCTAATGTCTCAACGCTTGGCTCATATATTTCAGATACACCATCCAGTCTCTCTTTCGATGTCCATAAAGTTGACGAAAAAAATTTGTACGACTATCAACTGGTGTATTACCAGCAGTTTTTACTCTATTTGATTTCAAGTATGCGCAGAAACTACGCCCTAGCACTCTTGTGGTTCAAGTGCGATCCATTTAATAAGGACCTATCTATTTGATCATTATCAATAAAGATAATATTATGTTTAGTGCATAAATCTTTAACTAAGGTATTAAATCTAGATATATTGCTTGCCACAACACGACCATCATACCTTTTGACCACGCTTGACACTGCAATCTTCTCAGTGTGACATTTCAGATCTTGAATAAGGCCATCCATCTTTGTTGCCACCTCAGCATCTTTGTTGACAAGATCATTGGTACCCACATGGAGGACAACTGTGTCATATTCTTGACCTTCTGACCAATTTTCCTTTATCTTGGCACTGATTTGTCCTACTCGAGCTCTGCTGTAGGAATGGACAACTGACTGCCAACCCGCGGCTCTCCCGATTTTCTGCCGATCGATGTGCTTCACCATTTCACCATGGAGTCACCAATAACTAGAATCTTTTTCCTTCCTGGTTTGTCGATTGGTTGACTTACATAAGGATCAGGATGAATTTTCTTTTCTTTTGCAATGGATTTTTAGCAAAATGTTTCAAGACTAAAATTCTATGGAACTTGCATGGCAGGCGGTACTTAGGAAATACCACCTGCCGCAAAACTGGTAACCTGAAGTTCAGGCCCTAATTTGAAATAGGGCCTGACACAAAACCTGTCTAGACCGTGGGATGCCCACATGTTATTTTTAGACAACATGCAATATGATTGACAAGTGTTGTAGATTTCGTTACACAAAAAATTTATATTCTCATGAACTTGTCCACAGAGAGTGCGTTTTGCTGTTTAATTAAACTTAAAAATTCAAGGTACTTTTATATCTTAAGAGTCAGTTTCTCTATTTAATCGAACAGCAAACAAAGATTTAGTTAGTTATGTCACGGCTTGACTGCCAAGCTTTCTCAAGGTCTCAACTTGCTGGACGCGGATATACTCTAACGGGCTAACAACAGCAACAATGAAATTCTCAATCGTACCACAAAGAAGGCAATGTAGCTCAGAAAACAATGCCTGTAGGACCTGATATTAAAAATAAGACTTTTGCCGGCGAATCCAGTTGGCAGAGCATCTTGGCTGTCAACAACAAGCTTTCAAATACATGACTAGTTTAGCTGTTCTTTCAGCATCATGTGTCCAAAATTTGTCAAAGATTTTGAAAAAGCCCTTTCAAAATACTGTTTGTTTGATTTATTTTCTGCCATAAAGCATAAAAGAAAAGAAATTCGAAGAAATCGACAATGGAATTTGTCACGTGCGTTTGACCTTTATATTAATTGTCACCTTGAGCCCTTGACCAAGCTATTTTTAAAACTGTTGTTTATGTGAACTTGCAACCAATCAAAATCCTTCATGATGCTGATCAACCAATCAGATTTCCCATCCACCGGATGGACAGGAATCCCACAGTTTAGATAGGTTTTGTGTCAAGCCCTATTCTGCGATTAGGGTACGGTGGCCCGGAAGTGCAAAACACAAAACAAACAAAGCAAAACAACAATTGCATTTCTTTATCATTTTTACACTATTTTGACCCAAAACATGAAACTCAATTAACCATTTTATCACACAATAATTTTCTCTTTTGTGACACGCTTGAAAATACAAAACACATTTGGAATCACAAAACACATTTGGAAATCACAAAACACATTTGGAAATCACAAAACAAATTTGGAAATCACAAAACACATTTAGAAATCACGAAACACATAATGGAAATCACAAAAAACAATCATTTGGAAATCCCAAAACACATTTGGAATCACAAAACACATTTAGAAATCACAAAACAAATTTGGAAATCCCAAAACACATTTACAAATCCCAAAACACATTTAGAAATCCCAAAACACATTTAGAAATCACAAAACACATTTTGAAATCACAAAACAAATTTGGAAATCACAGTCCATAAACAGTTAGAATCATTTCTTGAAAAACATTCTTTGCTCTTTAGTCACCAATTTCGTAAAGGTCACTCAACGGAGCAAGCAATTCTCGAAATATCTGATCACTTAAAAAACAAAATAGACGAAAAAAAATTACTAGCGGGTTATTTCTGGACTTATCCAAACAAACTAAACAAATACGGAATTCGTGGAGGCCCGCTAGCCTGGTTTAGAGATTTCCTAAGCAACCGAAAACAGTATGTATAACAGTATAACACCGATTCTGACATGCTAACCTTGTGCAGTTTACCTCAAGGATCAACGCTTGCTCCATTATTATTTCTGATTTATATTAATGACATGCCAAACTGTTCTACGAAACTCTCATTTAGACTTTTTGCTGATGATACTAATGTCTTCTATTCCAGTGACAATGTTCAAGATGTAACTAAAATCATGAACGAAGAATTTATTCAAATCCTTGACTATTGTTCAGCTAATAAACTAGCTATTAACTTTAAAAAAACTAATTACATGATCATTAGTTCACATAAAAAACAAATATCAAATGTCAGAATTCATGAGATTGAACAAAAAGACTACATCAAATACCTGGGCGTCTATATTGATAAACACCTTAAGTGGGGCCAGCAAATAAACCACATAAAAAGCAAAATATCTAAAAACACTGGCATCCTTAATAAATTGCGATATTATTTGAACCTACACATGTTGAAACAACTCTACTATTCCCTAATCTATCCATATCTTAACTACGGAATAATGAGCTGGGGAAACACCTATACTACCCATCTATCCAAAATTCGCATTGCTCAAAATAAATGTGTACGAAACTTTTCTTTGCGCATAAAAGAGAAGATGCCAGTACCTACCTCAATCTATTGGGAATACTCAACGTTGACAATGTTTTTAAATTGAAAATTGCAATTTTTACATATAAAATCCTTAACAACTTAATACCGTCAGTTTTTGCAAACTCCATATCCATCGCATCTACCTGTCACTCGTATAATACAAGATTCGCGGCAAATCAAAACTTTAGCAGACCAAAAGCTCGCACAAATTACGGCAAACACACTTTTCTTTTTTCGTCATCCAATATTTGGGAAACGATAGACCTACATATTAAGCAGTCGACTTCAGTTAGAATATTTAAATCTAAATATACAAGAAAACTTATCCTAAGCCAAACGTAGAATCCAGACACTGATCCAGCCACACCAAACACATCATGTTCTTTTTTCTCAATTATGTAAACAGTCACAAAACAACAATTTTGTAAACGGTGGCCAGCTACTTTGGCCACTGAACACGATATAATACCATAATTAACTCCCTTTTTTCCCCCTCCATTATGATTTTTTTTTGTGATGTAATTAATGTCTAACTATATCTTTTTGTAAAAGTGTGAAATAAAATTGAATTGAATTGAATTGGAATCACAAAACACATTTAGAAATCACGAACACATTTGGAATCACAAAACACATTTAGAAATCACAAAACACATTTAGAAATCACGAAACACATTTAGAAATTGGAAATTCCGAATCATAACAAGTGCTTCTACTTGATAAAACTGGATTTCCTGTTTTCATCCTTATATTATCTCGCATTTTAAATAGACTATTATTAAGTCCCAATCGTTGGAATCTAATAGTTTCCTGCCATTATCTTGGCAATTCATTATTTATTCCCAAAAGGATTTTCCGCCAGAGCCCAATTTTTCCTTTTGCCAGAATTTTCATGGCAAGTGGAAGCTATGAATTCACAATGTGGTTGGAGGAAAGACAAATCCACCACGGAATGGAGGAGGAATTAGAAACAATAAGATATTATTTCAGAAGAAGTTACGACTATAATGCGATATTAGAGTTTTTAGACAAATACCATTACATAAGGATGTTGAAACAGACTCTCTTAAACCGTTTAAGAGATTATGGCGTGAACAGGCGAAATCGCAACATTGACGAAGATCTCGTTCGCGATCATATTAACAGGGAATTGCGAGCAATGTGGCGAAACCTTCACTTGAAATATGACATTAATGTACCAAGGTCAGCGGTAGAAGAATTAATGAGAGAAATTGATCCTGAAGGTGTCAGAAGCCGAAAAGCCCACAGGCTAAAAAGAAGAAAGTATTCTAATCCCGGGCCAACTTACTGGCACGTCGACGGGTATGACAAACTCAAACCTTATGGGCTGCCTATACACGGGTGTATCGATGGTATTAGTCGACGTTTGATATGGCTGAAAGAGGAAAAGAGCAATATCGATCCTAGAGTAATCGCAAACTTATTCAAAAACGCTATCATTGAGATATAAGGTTGCCCAACACTTCCGGAAAATTGACCAAGGGACAGAAAATTCAATCGTCTCGTCAGCCCAATGTTTCTTTAGAAGAAATGGAACCAATTCTCTTGCTGGTTTGAAAGCCCACCGCTTTGGCTCTTCTCATAGCAACCAGCGCATCGAGGCTTGGTGGGCATTTCTAAGAACATGGAGTACTTGTTGGATGAATTTCTTCAAAGACAGGATACATGAAGGCAACCTCGATGCACGTAATAAATTACATCTTGAATGTATCTGGTTCTGCTTTAAGAATCTCATACAAAACGAATTAAATGGCGTTATGGAAGAGTGGAATATTCATTACATTCGCAAGTCTCGATTTCAAACGGCCTCAGGCATCACAAACAATCTCTTTTTCCTACCTGAAAGTGTTGGTGCCACAGACCACATACATCCGTATAACTGGGAAGATGTTGAGGAAATCAATAATGAACTCCACATACCTGAGAATGATGATTCCTTGATTTATCAGGAATATTTTTCTTATGTCAGTTACATTATTAGACTTGCATGGTGAACCAAGTTCTGCGAGGGAAGCACTAACTTTATATTGTAGACTTTTGGTTGCTGCCCAATAAATAGCATACCAAATAATATTAACGGAAGTACTCCTATATATTTTTCTAACAAAAAATTTTATATCAACTTTAATCAAATGTCAAGTTATTATGCAATGATAAGTGTTGCTCTACACAAATCATGTTACTTTTAAATATCAACAAAAAGTCTTGAAATGGTTCTGAAAAGTGAAAACTTAGACTACGTGCAAACAGTAACGTTTTTGAGCGTTTTCATTTGTTTTTCACACAAAAACAGATGCAAACAATATCAATTTACGACAGATGTTGGAGCTAATTTATTATATTGGATATATTTTCCCTTGGACCGCGTGAACATGGCCCAAAATAATAAAAGAGACAAAAACGTTTTTGAAAACGCTCGAAAATGATGCCGTTGTGCACATAGCCTTAAACTCTAATAAGTCTTTGCAACATACATGGGAAGGGATCCATTGTTTACTTGATGCATACGATATACCACACATACAGCTAATTCAATAAAGGTTGTCCTTCCAAAAACGTAAACCTTAAACTCTGAGCGCGCAAAGGACGAAGGGTTATGGCTTATTTAGACTCACAAACTTTGTAATTTGGCTTTGCAAGAGTACCTAAGTCATATATAAGACTCACGACAGAAAACATACTTGCTGCAAAGGCAATTCTCTGTGTTTTAAGGGCCCAATAGGTGAAAACCCATCATTCCTTGCGCCCTCAAAGTTTAAAGTAATAATAATAGAGACAAAATAATAAATAATAAAAGAGACAAAAACGTTTTTGAATAATGTTTCTTCACGATAATGTTTCTTCACGACCGTGTTTCGCTAGCTGTGGGGTTCCGCAAGGATCTGTTTTGGGACCATTGTTGTTCTCTTTGTACATTGCTCCCCTCGAAGATGTGATCATGTCCCATGGAATAGATGCCATGATGTATGCTGATGATTCTCAACTTTATATTTTTCTGAATCGTAATAACTGCATTATCGCAACTGAAAAGTTGGAAGCCTGTATTGACGATGTTATGAATTGGATCACTTGCAATATGCTTATGGGCAATCCATCAAAGACGGAAGTAATTCATTTTTATTCACGTTACATGAAACCTGATTGTCCTCTTCGTCCCATCAAAGTAGGAGGGCATGATGTACAACCCGTAAACAAAGTAAAGGATCTAGGAGTTACACTCGATTCCTGCCTTACTTTTAAAGTGCATATTAATAACATATGTCGTTCGGCTTCACAATCAATACATCAAATTGGCAAAATAAGAAAATATCTTTCACGAAAGGACACCGAAAGTCTTGTTCATGCTTTTATTTCATCCAAACTTGACTATTGCAACGGCGTGCTCTACGGCCTTCCTTCTTGTGAATTACAGAAGTTGCAAAGGCTACAAAACACTGCTGCCAGATTAGTCGTCAGAGAAAGGAAATCTGCGCATATAACACCGGTACTTTCTAATCTCCACTGACTTCCAGTGCAACAACGAGTGACTTTCAAACTACTTTTGGTGACCTATAAAGCTCTTAATGGCATTGCCCCTTCATACATCACCGATCTACTTCGTCGTCATATCCCTGCCCGTACTTTGCGCTCCAGCAGTCAAAATTTGTTAACTGTGCCTAGAGTGCGAACAGACACATATGGCGAGAAGTCTTTTTCCTGCGCTGCTCCGAGACTCTGGAACCATCTTCCTGACTCTATTAAGCAAAGTCCAACTATCGATGAGTTTAAGGCAAAGTTGAAAACATATCTTTTTAGGATAGCTTTTACTGAGTAACTGTTTTTAGATTTTAGATTCTTGTTGTAAAAAGCATTGAGACTCATGTATAATGCGTTTTAAAGAACAATTATATTATTATTATTATTATTATTAAAGTTTAAGGTTTTCGAAGGACAACCTTAAGTTTATCAACTGTATACAAAGTATTGCTGTTATAAGCATTTGGCAACTGAAACACACTTTAAACTAATTGGAACCCAGACGAGTTCAGCAGACAAAACGTGAACTCCTCAGACATTTTTTTTTCATCTTCTAGACCACTTACTGGAAACTTAAGAATGTTAGCACATGAATTTGTGCTTATCTTTCTTGCCATATGCAAGTGGTGCAGGAACACTATAGTAGGGCGAGGAGAAAAGCCAACAGCGGGAACATGTTGGGCGCCAGTTGCAAATTGAAGAATATCACTTAGTGGTACTTTGACTTCTCTGTCTTCAAGTTGACCGGTTACCTTACCACGTTCCGCATCCTCAAGGTACTGGTTGAAATTAAAAATGATGCTCTGTTCAATTGCAAATTTGTTGCTGCCAGCAGGACTGAAAACAGGATCAAAGATAGAGTCAACATCTTCAGCAGTAAGCTTTACATGACCCATTTCAAATAAACATCTGAAACTATCAGGGTCTTTTTTGATAAGATGTAACATATCGCAGGTATTCAGGCCATCGACAAATTGGTTGAGCTCACTTAAGGAAACAAGTATAGTATAATGAAGGGCAATACATTTTATAAAATCGTCTTTGTCAGCCATTGTTACAATGGGCTTTGCATATCCAGCATCAAATCGATAATCACTTTCAAAAGATGCCTTTTGTTTAAACTCATCAGGATTTGTAAGATTGTTCAACTCCATGAGGCTATTCTTCACCTCATGAACTGGGATTTCTTCTGTGGATGGAGTTAAATTATCAATGCTCCCAGAACAAATATAGTCAAACACTGACTTTGTAAAACATCTTGGGCCAGGTGATCCTTGAAGCAAACCAATAGCTGTCAACTGCCCAAAGGCATAGTACTCCCATCCTTTCAAGGCAGTAATATTATGTCTGAACGCTGATTGTGTAATCAACTTTCTTTCAGCGGCTTCGTTTATCAGGTCAAAATATTCACGAGATGGTCCGCCTTGGTCGACTGCAGGTTCGCCAATGAACTGTACTTTTGTTGGATTATTATCATCCCTTTGAAGTTTTATCATTGTATCTTCCCATACATGATGCCTTCGTACTTTTATTCTGAAGTTTTTTGAACTGTCCATAAACTGTTCCTTACAGTGTTCAAGCTTCTCGGTCAGTGTTGCATTAACTGTGTAGTGAGTTTTCGAAGACATTTCCAAAAATGATTCCAAATTTTCATCATCATCATGGAGTATATTCACATCTGCATCGCATTCTTTTGTAATCAGTGACCCGTACCTGTTATTTACTGACATGTCATCGTCCTCTACAACCATATTAATTGCCTCTTTCAGGGTTTCATTTAGCTCAAGTGCTTGCTTTGATTCACTCTCGCCACGATTAGAGAACATTTCTCTCATTGTTTTCATCCCACTTACTGTTCCACGAGCACTTTCACTTTCATACAATGAACAACTTGTTCCAGGTAAATTTTCATTATTGTTGGAAAAGATGTTCTCTGATGTTGATGGGCCAGCAGTAGCTTGCTTTGTTGTATTGTGAGTAGTAGAGTCAGTAATTAGAGCAAATGATTCTATAACAGTCATGCTGCCTCATCATCAGAGTCAGTTGTGTTGTGTCGCAGTTCGTTATAGCTTTCTAGGTCACTCCGTTTCAATAAGAAAAGGGTTATTCGATTATACGTTCTACCAACATCCTGTTGATATTCATCCAACTGAAAAATGCGGTTGAGATGATCTGGTAGCGTAATTATTTCTGATCCATCAGGAAAAGAAAGAGTATAATCCGCATTATTGATTTCCTGAAGTGGAAGCACTTGTTATGATTCGGAATTTCCAATTTCTAAATGTGTTTTGTGATTTCTAAATGTGTTTTGTGATTCCTAAATGTGTTTTGTGATTCCAAATGTGTTTTGTGATTTGCAAATGTGTTTTGTGATTTGCAAACTTGTGTTTTGTGAATCTAAATGTGTTTTGTGATTTCCAAATGTGTTTTGTGATTTCCAAATGTGTTTTGTGATTTCCAAATGTGTTTTGTGATTTCCAAATGTGTTTTGTGATTCCAAATGTGTTTTGTGTTTTCAAGCGCGTCACAAAAGAGAACATTGTGTGATAAAATGGTTAATTGTGTTTCATGTTTTGGGTAAAAATGTATCAAAATAGAGCAAAAATGATAAAGAAACATACTTTTTGTATTGCTTTGTTTGTTTTGCGTTTTGCACTTCTGGGCCACCGTAATACGGCCTGAACTTCAGGTTACAAAACTGGGTGTAAATGAACTACCGCCTCTGAAGCATCAAAGCTATTTATAGATGCATTAATTAAGTAAATATTCAAAATTAGCCACTCCCAAGTTACTCCCAAGTCCCAACTGCCCAACATAAAATAAATTCCTTGATTCTCATCACCGCCCGACTGAATTTTAAAATCCTCGTGAAAATGTTTTATATTTCGTTATACAATATAAATGTACCGCCCGACAAAATAATTCAAGACAGTTAATTTTTTTATATTTTATATAGGGTTTTTATTGCCATTTTAAACTTCCAATTTGTCGAATTTGAAACAAACAGAATTTTGAATGAAATTTCAATGTATTTTAAAGAAACTCAGTCATTCTGTCATTGTTCGTGGAGATACGAACAGGCTATTGATATATAAATTATATAAATATAAAATATAAAAAATAAATCTCCCACTGTCTTCGACATTTCAAAGTGTAGAGACTGTGTCTAGTGATGAGAATCAAGGAATTTATTTTATGTGTTAATATAAACCAAGCCCATTTAGCTGGGCAATTGATAAAACTAGAATTGTGAAGCGAATAGTCGACGAATAGTACGCGAATAGTCTGCGAATAGTACGAATAGTCCGCGAATAGTCGACGAATAGTGCAATAGAGACTTTGCAAGGCTTTGCACCGTGCTGTAGAACTAAATTTACCGGGGGGGGCTCTATTGACAAACATGAAATCGTGAAAACATTCGTTGACGTCAATATACAATGCCCAAAATAAGTAGCGTTGTTGAAAAAAAATTTTATTACGTGCTATCGTAACAATGACATCAAATATGAAGACTATTTGTCACATCTGTTGCGATTTATAGGGAAAAGGATATTTAAAGTGTGATACTCAGCGCCAATGAGTCTGGCGCGGCGATGTAACGGAACCGCTGGAGCACACTTGTCAAAATTAAAAACTATTATAGTGTCAAGCTTGCCTCTGATTGCTATGATTCGGTTACACCAAACACGAAAATAAAATCATATAATTTAATGATTTTGCATAGAGTACTGCCGTTCTATCGTAACATGAATCGTACAATTTAATGATTTTACATAGAGTACTGCCGTTCTAGCGTTCTATCGTAACATGAATCATATAATTTAGTGATTTTGCATAGAGTACTGCCGTTCTAGCGTTCTATCGTAACATGAATCATATAATTTAGTGATTTTGCATAGAGTACTGCCGTTCTAGCGTTCTATCGTAACATGAATCATATAATTTAGTGATTTTGCATAGAGTACTGCCGTTCTAGCGTTCTATCGTAACATGAATCGTACAATTTAATGATTTTGCATAGTCATAGAGTACTGCTTTTCTAGCGTTCTATCGTATGTGTGAGCGTAAAAATGTAAAAATGTCTTTGAATTTTTTCTGAAAATGGCTTTTACTAATTAATCGTTTTGGTTTAGTGTCAGTCTTGAAAGGTTCATTGTTTTGAGGGTTCCTGCCATGCACTGCATGAAAAACGTTATTGTTCTTTGTTTATTCATTACGGCTGACGTAAGGCGCACACATAAAAACCGCACCTGGTACATTTTTTCGGTCATATAAGTTGGGAGCTTGTTGATCTGCACTCGAATGCGTAGCTGAAAAATCCTTCTGTGTTTTCTTATTACAAAAGGTAAGGGCGTTTTAAGGTGTGTTGTTTTTTGTTTTCAAGTTTTGGATTTGTGATTCATGCATACGGAGTATTAGACTGAGGTATTATTTAATTTTTGTATGTTTGTGTGAAGTATCAAGTATGTCTGGCTCGTCGACGTCACCCCGTAAAAGTCTCGGTACGAGAAGCAGGAGAAGGTATCAGTTGTTTGCATAAGAAGATGGAGAAAGACCGCTACAAGCCAATCGCAAACTTTTACTTTACCATCGAAGCCTTTGTGAAATTTCCAGTGGCATATAGAAGATTCAATGGATACATCTTAAATGTCCATCGTACTGACAGCAATTCAATGTAAGTAATGAAATTTCAGTGTTAATTTTAAAAGGATATAGGTTTTTTAACATCAAAAATCGAAAAGTAATCACACTGGCCCTTTAAAATCAAGCCACTTTTCAGTTTCAGTGATTGACATCGGAGATGCATGACTCGTTATAGCCTATACGCATGGTGTTTTTTGAGACCGTATCACGTTAAAATCATAAAACCACTTCCTGTTCCAAAGCTAGTTCTTCTCCATGAAGGCTGAGCCGATTGAAATGATGAAGACTAATTCCATAATGACTTTGAAAGTTCTGATTAAGACACAATTAACCGACACGAGCGGCATGTCTTGATCATACTGAAAGTCCATGATTCATGAAAGGGTGTATGTATAAAAGAAACCTTGCGGCTTGCATACAAAGCAGCCTAGTTATCTTATTTATACGATGCGGTTTGGAGTAAAATTTAAAATTTGTGTAGTGTAAAAACTCGCATGTCGTGGCTAAAAAGTGGTGGGTCGGAAAACACAAAAAATTCCGAGGTTGCGGGTTTTTTGATACACCCTGTATTATAAATATTACTATGACCGAAACGAAATGGTTCCGGTCTCATGTAAACGGGGCCTAACTAACCGTCATATGTTTGGAAGCTATAATTATTCTTTCTTCAAACATGTCATCACTGAAGTGCACGCTGAGACTGAGTGCTAGCCTTGCTAAAATATGTCATCAGTACCCGCGGCATCGGAAAGCACATGTTTATTAATTTTAAACACCTACCGCAGCAAGGTGATTACAATCTAGTTTTTTATTTTTTGCTGCTGCGATGCCTTTATAACTAGGAGATATCCTATATAATGAGCCAAGCCCAAGGAATGGAGCTCGAAATTGAGCTCGGAATCGAGTTCGTAATCGGGCTTTAAGTACATAAATCATAATTATACAGCCAATTCAAAAAGGTTGTCCTTTGCAAACCTTAAACTCTAAACCTTAAACTCTTAGGCTAAGCGTGCAAAGCTTAATGGAAGCGCAAGTTTCAAGCCTATAGTAGTTGAATATTGCAGCTATTTGTGAATGAATTGTTCTTGTAAATTATGTCATGCTCCCATTATGCTTTAGAGTTTACGGTTTAATAAGTAGTTTAGTACGGTTTGCGCAGTTAGTAGTGGTCCTAACTTTTGACAAAGTATTATTGTTTAGCAGGTTTCTGTGATTCTATCATATTTTTCTTAGAACAACATGAGGCCATCACATCATTTTTCACACTACACTTTTTGATCTAACATTCCAAGCCTGCCGCACACGAGGGTAACATGCTGAGCTAACCGCCTCGCTAGCTGAGCAAGTTGCTTTCGTGTGCGGATAGTTTTATTGGGGATTTGACCTCTCGAACATAGACGGATTTTCATATTTTTTACTGGGGTGGTGCCAGAAATTTTAGGTGGGTGAGCCGTGAGCAGGTGACTGAAGCAACAGAAAGTGTCACCAAACCCCAGTAAGGTATATTATATTCTAGGGGTGGAGCACTAGAGCCGCAAGAGGGAGTCTAGAGAGCAGAAAACAAAGTATCCCTGGAAAAATTTGAAAAAAATCATTTCTAGCTTCGAAAAAAAGTTTTTGAAGAGTGTCATATCAATGGATTTGGCATGTCCGATTGTCTGTTGAGACTTGAGAGAGTTAAAGTTAAATGAACCTGTAAAAGTGTAAACCCAATAGGCCAATACACAATATGCTTTTACTTTTATAAAATCATTGACATTGTGTCGTTTGAATCCGAGTACAATTTATGATGCAACTCCGATGTAAATAATATTTGGGCCATAAAGGACATAAAGATTAAATCTAGGCAAGTCTATTTCCTAAAAGAATTAAAAACTAAAAATAATGTTCGTAAAAATTCCAAACGTTCCTTGCAAGCAAGCTATTTGCATGACAAGGCACTGCAAACTCCATTCAGGGGAGATAATAGAGTTTCAAAACTTTACAATTGCTCCAATAAACCAGTGAATGCAACACTCTGCACGTTGGAGTGGACTATTTAATTATTTTTTATTATGCCGAATATTGGGG